TTCCGTTCTGTGTGAACCGAAGACTTGTTACACTTGAAGATTGTGATTTTCCAGCCGGTTAGGCGTCGCTTTCTGAGCATCCAAGAGCCATTGTGGATTGCCGGTGAACGAAGTCTGCGAATGTTTTGGAAGTCTACCTTGAAGACTGCTTGAGTGATTGGGTGAGATTTGCGGATCTTACCTCAAGGGGAATAAGGTGATGACCGGGTCTTCTGAGTTCATTCCCAGCCTCCCTAACCAGACGTACAGTTTTCACAACAACTGGAACACAACAACTGGAATTGGTCAAACAAATCACTTGTCTTCTTCGAGCAACTGGTTCTATCACTTAACTCGCTAACTTACCGTTTAGTTTCGTGAAGCCTTTGATTGAACTGTTTGAAGACATTGTGTGAAGACATTCCCATGATTATACCTTTATCTTCACATTAACTGTTCCTATTGTTCTCATCTACCTAGTTTGCTGTCTGCTTTCACTTCTCACTTTAATTGTGTTGTTATGCCAGCATGCCTAGTGTAGTTTATCTTCCGTCGTATCTTGTTTAGTTGTTGTTTAACTTCCACGTATTCGAAGACATTGCCTGTTTGGAAGACTTTCACAAAAATCGCCTATTCACCCCCCTCTAGTCGATAACTAGCACTTTCAATTGGTATTAGAGCAGGTGCTTCCTTGTTTTGTGTGATTCGGTTTAACTAGCTATGTAGACTGCAGGGATAATCAAGGTTTCCGCTGTGTGCCCCGTCTTCGATGACACTGATTACCCTTACTGGAAGAATAAGATGCGCATGCATCTTGAAGCTATGGACAACGACCTTTGGTATGTCGTTAGGACCAGCGTTCCCAAAGTCAGTGAAGGTGTCATCGCTGCTGATGTGAAGAGGTTCGGGCAACTAGACTCGACCGCCAGGAACATCATCAGTGGTTATCTGACCAAAGGGCAGTATGGTCATGTGAGTGTTCTAGATTCTGTGAAACTAGTCTGGGGCTGGCTCTCCATGTTCAATGAAGGTGTCTCATCCCAGCGACTGTATGTAAACCCTAGATACCCCCGATGCCTATATATGCCGAGGGGTTTAGTCTATAGAGGACGAATTGATAGTCATTCACAACATAGAAGTTAGAACTCATTCATACGATCTCGAGGTAGATCATATATACTTTGTACCCCATCCGCAATCAATAGAATACAAGCAGGACGTAGGGTTTTACCTCTTAGAGAGGGCCTGAACCTGGGTAAAACTCTGGCCCTTTACTTCCTGTTCACCATCATGCCAAGATCACCAGCTTGGGACCCCCTATACCCGAGATCCGTCGTTTTTAGCACTGACACCTTGAAGGCGCCCCGTCAACATGGTTTTCCGGCTATACTTTTTTAGTGCAATTGGGGTACTCTGAAGACAAGTGTAATTGCTGCAGTTAAGCAGTTTCTCCTTATGGGTATCATGTCGGAAGGAGTAAATTCCACCTCAATTGTCTTGATTACAAAATTTGCTAAGCCTCTAAATATCTGACTACAGACCTATAAGTATGTAATGTGGTGTACAAGTTCTATAAATGTTTAGTTAACAGAATGAGACCATTGCTTGATGACCTCATATCCCATGAGCAAAGTGTGTGTGTTCCTGGCAGAATGATTGCGGATAATGCATGCATGGCCTTTGAGTGCATTCATTACACCAAGCAAGAAAAAGATCCAACAAAAAGTTTTTGTGCCTATAAACTTGATCTATCAAAAGCTTATGACAGGGTTGATGGGGTCTTTTTGAAGCAAGTGATGCAAAAACTGGGTTTCTCTCATCGATGGATAGATTGGATTATGACGTGTGTCACATCGGTGAGGTATTTTGTCAAATTCAATGGAACCCTCTTGGATTCATTTGCACCGAGACGTGGGCTTTGGCAATGTGACACGTTATCACCCTTTTTGTTTCTATTTGTTGCTGATGGATTATATGCTTTGTTGAATCATGGTGTTCAATCTGATGCTATTACCCCGGTTAAAATTTCTCGCCGTCCCCTGGTATATCTCTCTCACTTATTATTCGCGGATGACACTATGTTGTTTTTTGAGGCTACTCATGCATAAGCTATGATGATCAAGGGTGTTTTGGGAATGCATGCCAAAATGCAAACCAGGAGCAGGTGCGTGCGGCCTTACATGTTACTACTTATTTTGAGGAAAAGTACCTTGGGTTGCCAAGCCCGGAGGGTCGTATGTTAAAAGGCAAGTTCTAGAATCTACAAACGAGTAAGACTAAACGACTGGTCCAGTGGGGTGAAGGTCACTCTTGCGCAACCTGGAAGGGAGGTACTCGTCAAATCTATTGTGCAGGCGCTTCCTACATATATCATGGACGTGTTCAAATTACCACACGGTTTGTTATGATTTTACTCGGATGGTGAGGAACTTTTATTGGGGTTCAAAGATAGGTCGTCGGAAAGTGCATTGAAGGCATGGGATTTTTTGTCACATCCAAAATGTAAAGGAGGCTTAGGTTTCCGGGACTTCTGTTTGTTCAATCAATCGTTATGCTAGGCAGGCATGGAGACTTATCACTAAGCCAGATAGTTTGTGTGCTCAGGTGTTGAAGGCTCGGTACTACCTATATGGTAAAATTGAGGATACAGTGTTTCCGGGTATAATGCTTCTTCACCATCGATAGCGATTAGTCATGGTCTAGATCTTCTGAAGAAGGGACTTATATGAAGAGTGGGAAACGGTAGGAGCATCCGAGTATGGAGAGACAATTGGATTCCACGACCTACCTCACATAAGCCTGTCACACTTCCAGGGAGGTGTAGGATCAGGTTTGTCTCTGAATTACTAAATGAAAATGGTTCTTGGAATGTTCAGCTGCTGCATACTTACTTTCTGCCGTGCGACGTGTCCAAAATTTTGAAGATTAGAGCCTCACCAAGATTGTTAGATGATACGCTGGCATGGGGTCCAGGGAAATATCGTCCTTTTTCAGTTAAGTCAGCCTACACTTTGGCATTCGAGGAAGCTACACGTGACAATTCTGCTGCTTCAAGTTCAAGTCCCGATGGATGTAGACTATGCTGAAAATATATTTGGTCCTGTGATGTTCCTCCAACCGTAAAACACTTTGCATGGCGGCTTGCAACAGATTCTTTGCCAACTTGGAAAAATAAACAAAAACGAGGGCTGGAGGTTTCCGACATGTGTCCAGTTTGTGGCAATGGTACACAGTGGCGGAGCTAGATGCAGATTACGCCTGGGGCTGTGCTATGTTGAGTGATAAACTTCTATGATTTTCTATGCTTTGCATGAAGAAATTACAAAGGAAGTTGTTTCTAGGCCTGAGGCTATAGCCCTAGCTGCCCCAGACCTGTCTCCGCCACTGATGGTACAGAAGATAATTTTCACCCATTCTGTTTGTGTCCGAGAGCCATGGAGTTGTGGACTGCTATGTCTGTTGTGTGGAAGCTACCAGCAATCAAGGAGGTTTTGCACACGGGGAAAGAATGGTTACTTCATGCATTAGAGCCTCTCAGGAATTTGGAACGAAGCATGCTTCTGATGACGCTTTGGAGGACGTCTCCAGGAGGTTTCTCTGCAGTTATCTGGAGTCGTTGATTGCTATAAAAGCTGACCATACGCTGATCCGTGTAAAGGGAAGACTGCTTTGATACGAGTGGTTCCTAGCGCACATGAAATAACTCAAGCTGAACTCGGATGGTTCATTTGCTTTGGCTTCGAGATTAATCGGGCTCGATTGTTTTTTCAGCTTGTAGAGTACTTTACTCATGCTGGGACGCGTTGGAAGAAGAACTAGGTGCATGTATGGAGAGCCTCTCGCAAGCCGTGACGAGGAGTAATTTGCCGGTGATGATTGAGATGGATTCCCTACAAGTGGTTCGTATGATACAGTCAAGCGGCATTGACAGATCGAATTACTCTTCTTTGGTTGAGGATATCAAGCGACTCCTAAACCTCCCTAAAACTAGTATTACTCATATTCGACGCTCTTAAATTAAGTAAGGTTAGCAATTGTTTAGCTATTTTTTACATGCGTGGAACGTAGAACCATGACTTGATTGGGGTCTGGCCCTCCTAGTGTGATAGAGCTGAACCATGCTGATTGTAATCCTCTTGTGTTTTGAGTAATATACAGTATATAACAAGTATTTTACCCGAAAAAAGATCGTACATGAATCGATTCGGGTGTGTCTAGGTCTCAATCGACTGAGACTTAACAAAGTCTCAGTCAAGTGATATAGTATAAAAAAAACTGAAAATATTTTTTTTGTACAAATCTTCATGCTAGATTAAAGGAATATAGTGTCGACTGAGACATAATGAAGTCTAAGTCGACCAAGACTTAGCAAAACTGATTAATTTTTTTATAGTGGGACAAGGATCGATTCTTTGCCTTTTTTGGTTTTATAGTAGATTAGAAAAAGGATTGATTCTTTTCCTACTATAGGACCGTACCATGAGTCCATGACCCTTAAAGAAAGATCGTACCACGATTTTTCCTTGTTTTTTTTTAGCGATCGATCCGGTATTTTTCCTCCGTGTAGTGATCTATCGTGAATAAGATCGGGAGAAAACGCCGTCCTGTTCCAGGCCTCCGAGAAGCCAACCGCCGTCGTCGACGAACTAAACCTAAACCAAGGTACCTTTTCCAACTCCCCACGGCTGGCAGCGATCACCGGTCGCCGACCATCCAGTCGATTTTCCTCTGCCATATTGATCATCTCCTCTCTCTCTCCATTTGCAGATCGACCCGACGACGTAGACCCTGACCATGGAGGAGGAAGAGAAGGGGGAGATCTTCGAGAGAAACACGATGTCGACGTTGGACAGGCATCCGGATCCGGGGCCGACGGCTGGCCTGCTCACCGACGACCTCATCCTGGAGATCCTCTCGCGCCTCCCAACCGCTTCAAGTGCGTTTCCGTGTCCTGGCGCAACCTCATCGTTGACCCTGCCAACCGCAACAAGCTGCCACAGACCCTCGCCGGCTTTCTCTACATGACCGTCAACAGCAGCGGGTGCGGCCACCACTTCGCCAGCATATCCGGCCACGGCGCAGCCACGTTCGATCCTTCCCTACAGCCTAACAAGTACATGGACATGGTCCAGGTGGACGCCTGCAATGGCCTCCTCCTCTACTGTGGCTGCAACGAGAAGTTATCCCCTTTCAATTGGGCAGAGGATGATTTCCGTTTTGTCGTGTGCAATCCTCTCACTGGGAGGTGGGTGGAGCTGCCTCCTACGCTGCAGGCGCCAGAAAATAACAGATATAGTTGTACCGCAGGCCTGGCTTTTGATCCGGCGGACTCATCCCATTTCAATGTTCTTCACTTCGAGCAGGCCTTTCGCGAAGCTTTCGTCACAGGAGTGAACATCTACTCGTCGCGGGCAAGAGCCTGGACTCACAGGGATAGTGGGATGCTTGAGAAAGTGGCGCCGTTCTTCCGTGGTAAATGTGTCTTTGTTGGCCGTATGATGTATGTGCTTCGCAGCCTGATGGACATGAACAACGAGTACGTGCTCATGGGGGTGGACATGGAGGGGAATGTGTGGAAGACTATCCGTGTGCCGTATGGCCAAAGATTTGCTACGATTGGAGTGTCACAGGGGTGCTTACACTATGCTGCAGCTTCTGTGGTTGATAACAATAATAGGACGGTTTCCCAGATAGCGCTCTGGTGCCTCAAGGATCGTGACAGCACAGAATTATTCCTGAAGCATACCGCCAACATCAATAAACTTATGAGCATGACTGGAAAGAAGTACATGGTGGATGCGATTCATCCAGATTGCGACACAATTTTTTTGATTTCATATGGAGGTGACACCTTAGCGGCGTATGATATGCGACATCAGAAAGTTGGTTGTATCCTTAATCTTGAGAAAAGCAATACATGCCGATTTCTACCCTATGTTCCTTTGTTCTCAGAGTCGTTAGCAGATGCAGATGAGCAGTAGCGTCACCTTCAAACAACCCTTGTGCTTCCTCCAGGAATTGATTCTTCTGATGGTTGAAGTATTTGCCTGTGTACTTTGGAATCTACTTGAATCACGCGGCTCAAGTTCCTGGTAATTAATTACAGTCGTGCTTGCTTGGTTTCAAGTTTAGAGCACATGCATGGTAAACCTACAGATTGTCATTTCCAAAGAATATTGTTACTCTTGTTCTTGTTTACTTTTATTCTGGACATGGCTTAGATCCATGGGGTTAAATTATATTCTAATCAGCCTTCTTGTCGATAACAATCAGTTATTATGATTACCTAAATCTTAGTGCAGATCGATTATCAACCTGATAGTTTCCTAAAAGGTTCAATCAGGCTGGTTATTGATTTGATGTCACATTCAGTATTTCGGTACACTGCCTTTGAGCAATGAGCCGTATGCATCTTTCTGATGCAGAGGCTGGGGTAAACCCCCTTTTCAAAAAAAACTGCCTTTGAGCAAGTTCCTTTTATGCATGTTTTCTGTAGCTAATGAAATCAATTGAGCTTTGGATCTGTTAATCACAGAGAAATTGCATCAATGTCAATATTTTTAAATGCAGCTTCATGGAGATGCACTATATTTGTCTGTCAACACAGCTGATTGACCACCAAAAATTGGTGTCTGCTGTGTTGATTGATTTGGCTGCGGTGCTACTTGCTACCCTGTTTGAGTCGGCTCACCAAAAGCGTTTGTGATGTGATGATTCCTGATTCTTGAATGAATTTGCTTTAGTGCTCTGATATGAGAGTAGACAATATGAACTGAAAACAGTCGAGATGAATTTAAGACTGCCATTTATTTCCAAGAAAATCTCTGAGCTGCTTGAGAACTAATGATGTATTTACCTGGAACTTGGCATGTACTAAGTCAGATGCATATGTAACAGTTTTGAATTCATAAATAGCTGGCCATTCATTTGTCCTCAGTCTAAAGTCTAAACACTTGCCACAACGAGCAGAGGACAGAGTCCCAGCTATCTATATCTATACCTACATAATAATAATAATAATAATAATAATAATAATAATAATATCCAGTGAAGCATATAAATGACTCGGTACAATCTCCTCGTGTCTCTTGTACAAGATGAATTAAGCTGTCTCGGCTAGCTGTACGTGACTAAGCTAGTTGCATGCAGACGTGATTCATCAAAGAGTAAGCACGCACAAGCTTCTGAACCAACAATTACTTAGTTCAGTGAGCTGGTCAAGTTTCTACCCATATACGCGGGCAAAACAATAACTTATTATGCCTTAATTGTCTCGATCAAAAAAACTTGATGCACGCAGCTCACCAGACCAGGAATTTTTTGAGAGATCTTTACATTTTGTAGCTTTAGGTCGTGCTTCTGAGGCAGCTCTGCTGAACCAAATAGCGAAGGCAGAATTCAATAGACATCACGTCAATTCTTGATTTCTCAGGGCCTATGTAGAGAGTAAGAAAGATGGGTGAAGAATAGGTTCATTTCGCGGTCGGTCGGTCAGAAGAACTTCACAAAGGATAAAGCTAACATTCTATGGGCTGCTGCAAGGGCCGGCCACCGTTGCTCTTCTTGTCCACACTCATCTTAATTTAAGGCTCGGGGGCAGTGGCCTGCTCAGCTTTGCACATAGCTCGACCACTGGTTGGGACCCACGCGAAAACACTTAGAAACCCATCGGTCCGGCGGGCGTGTCTTCTCCGATTCTCGATGGCATCGTGTGGCGTCGCTCCGGCGCGCCGCCTGAGGGCCCTAGTCTGACTATTTAAGCCGGACACTGGCACCCAAACTATACCCTGTCCCATTTCCTTCCACTCCCATCCACCGCCGCCACATTCCAATCAACTCATCATCCGCCGCTAGCCATGCCTCGACGCCGAATCAAACGGCGGCCGGAGCTGCTTGAGTAGATCCGGGCTAGGCGCGAAGCCCTAATTCATAGTCGGCCTATACCTCCATACTCGCTGCAGCCAGAGGAGTAGGAGGAGCCGGAGGAGGAGGAGGAGCAGCAGCAGGAGGAGCAGGATGGGGCCATGGCGGATGCAGAGCCGGAGGATGAGGAGGATACAACCAAGAGGCAGATATGGTGCCCCCAGTTGCGGGCTTCGTCATGACTAAGGCGCTAGCGAAGTTAGAGGTGGCCCAAGCAGTGGAGGCGGTAGAGGAGCATGCCATCCTCGACTCCATCCAGTCGGATGCGAAGGTGGAGGAAGACTGCCACGCCCTCCATTAGCGGGGCACGGAGCTCACTGAGATAGAGTCTGACGAGGAGCCCGAGGTGAGGCCAGCGTCCATCCGCCCAAAGGCAGGGCCATCCGGCATTGCCAGCGCAGAGGTCATTGACATCTCCGACGATGAGTAGTGTAGCCTAGCTTATAGGTTATCTATGTAGTATGTAGATTTTATTTTTCATGCTTTGCATAGATATGAGGTATGAAATATAAGGTAGGTAGATGAGCGAAGGAAAAATGAGGGATACCTGGTCACTGCCCGCAGACACACCCGGACACATCCACATGCATTTGAGGAGCCGAATTATATTTATCTGGTTGTAGATGCTCTAAGCTATCTAATCCTTTAACTTGTGTACATGTTTCAACTTGTGCTCAATAGAAACTATATTCTATCCAATCGTGAACTAACCTGTTGTTGGATAGTTAGGAGGACAATGGTATCCCCAGGCCACCGGGGTTCATGTCCTGGTGCTCATATTTTTCTGAATTTATTCAGAATTTTTGGCGATGCGTGTTCAATGGGAGAAGACATTCCCGTCGACTACAAGGCACCTATGGTGATTTCGTAAATCTCAAGATAATATAGCGACTCAGTCTCTCGGAGGTGCTCATATTGATAGGGTGTGCATGTGTGCATTCATAGGGGTGAGTGTATACACATATATATGAACATGTGCATCTGTACTATGTTATTCTATCCCATCCTATAGAAAAGAATTAGAATATTGTTAGTGATACCAAATAGGTAGGTGGCATGCTTTCTTTTTAATCAAGATCTGTTGATTCATAGATAGCCCACCTTTCATGTGCTCCTATTCTTTCCTTCAGGTCAGTAAATGAAACACTGAATTAATAATTTCTCCTGTCACAAACAACCTTTACGCTCCTGATATTGTAGAAAACATGAAAAGAGCAGGTGCAGAGGGTATCAAGAATATTGTAGAACACCCCACACATCAAATCCTTCAGCGATGAATACCAACGTTAACAGGATAATGTCTAACTATTTTTTGTAAGCTTTATTAATATTCGATTGGCTCTACCCAAAAACTACAATTTTATAGGTGAAAAAAGATTAAGATGCTAGAGGTAGAGAAACAGAGGCAATGACGTTTGTTATCATGACACAAAAGTCTATATGATACAAGTGAGTTATCTGACAATTTTTCACTTCATATCTATCTGCACATTGTATTTTCTACCACACAATTTACCTCGACGAATCACAGATTCAAGAAACTAATGCAATTCATCAATTCACTGTATATCATATACAGAACAATTAAAAATAATCATAATTGTGCATACATTTCGGGTTCAACACGGGGAAAATTTTAGAAAAAATAGTTAGATGTAAATTTATTTAATCCAATTTGCAAACTGCAACACCGCATGTCAAATGAGCAGATTCGGCACCATAAAAATGCATAAACCGACAAAAAAATCCCAGCGAGAACGATTTAACGGCGTACTTGAACATCATAACTATTTGGATGAGTTAGTTACTTAAACTCTAGTTACACTCATATATAACCTCCACGATCCGAGAGACGTCTTTGTCCAAGTTGGAGAGTTTGTCAATCATGGGTTATGTGCACTTGTTCCTGTTCTTTGTCTCTTAATACCAATTTTATTCGGTTCTTAATTTATGGAAACTATTTTTTGACTTTCTTTAATATAGAAAGCTATAAACCAAAAGCCAACTTTTTCTTTATAATTTGAACAAACATGTATTTGGGTCGGTAACTATCCATACAACCATACATCTTATACGAGCGAAAATAAATATTTGTTAACCATTTATACTAAACATTTTTAGTTCTTTGTATACGATTGTCATTAAATTTAAAACTAGTTTTTGATTAATACAATATGATTATCATATAATGTTAACATTTTAATTGTATTTTAATGACATAATGCATATTCACATTGTTCAATCTCAAAGTATAACTGAAACATCTCTCATCAGAAATATATATCTATGACACGAGGCCTATATTTTGTTATAGAAAGTTTGTTAATTTTCAAGTTTAGTTAGGCCATTATTTTAAAGAGAATTACTTCTCAATCTAAATTGAGTATAAACAAAATTACCTCCATCTAAAAATAACTTGCCACTTAAATATATTATAATTTGCTTATATGCTTTTTTTGTCTCTTTTACTATCTATAAATATGAATGCCTGATTATTTGAAATATCTACATTGTATGAGATTCCAACAAGTGGGTTGGCTTCATATCCCCTCTTCTCAGAAGTTGCCAGTGGCATTGATATAGCTGTAAGCATATAAAACCAGGCCATGTGGACCATCTTCAGATAATCATGTGGCTCATGACGCAGGGGCAACTCAGTATGATCTCTCCTGTGCCATATGAGCATATTCTATATGCATTATAAAACTATGACAACTTAGTACTTCTAGCTCTTCACAAATGAAGCTAAGCAGTATTTGAGAAAGTAGAAAAAATAACGTTTCACTTCCCGGAACTAGACTAGCTCGAGAGGGAGCGATGAGGATGATCACATTATAGGTTTGGGGCTATGAAAGTTTGAGCAGATTTATTTGAAACAAAATGAATAATAACCATTATATATAAAGTGCTAGTGATTAAGAGAGCGGACTAGCAGAAACTACGACTCACCATTTTCGGCAGTTAATAGGTCTCTGTACTCATACTACAGTTTATGCCCATGCTATGTATACAGATTTGGATGTTTTAAGGCTTGATGTGACTAGCTTGGTCTTAGCAACGAACTCGCAATCTTTCTTGCGGAACTTCCAAACATCAACTTTGCAACAATTTATGTGGTGGTTTTGCTTTGTATAGCATCTCATTAGAGATTAGACCATGTCATCTCGCCAATACATGCATTCTGAGATTAGTTACGATTTGAGGTTCAACTTGGAAAATTAAAACTGTTTGATCATATCATAAGTAGTACTAAAACTACTTGGAATTCATAGGGGAGCATGGTGTTGGATATGGATATGTGGCTTGTGGGGATGACACTAGAGGTTGGAGGGCGACATGGGAGGAGATCAAGACTGGGGGACATTGGCAGTATGGGCAAAAACAGAGCAAAATATAAATAGTGTTGGATATGAAAACCAAATATAGAACGGACATTGAGGAGAAGAGAATTTATCGGAACCCACAAAATACCCTTAAACTATGCACAGGAGAACCCAAGCCTGCTTAGGTTTGGGTTGATAATGGTGCCATTTCTTTCTGGCTTCTTTCTCTTCCGTTATCGAATTCTCAAAACACTCATCCCGTAATGAGTGCACATACGCACACCATACCCCTATGAGCATATCTAAAAGGTTGAGCTGATGGGTATTGCGTTGACGAAGTCACCACAGGCATCTCCCACTAAGAAAATATTCTGCCTTTGTGAGAAGCAAAGTGCCAAACCTGGAGTTTGATCCCTGGTGCGCTAGGGGTACAATTGCCCCCCTAACCATCCAATCACAGGTTGGTTCTCGTATGTAGATAATTTCTGGTGTATGTTCTTTGTGTATGTGATGTCACCAAGCTTCCAGGAGTTTGAGGATGGCTTGCTTAGTTCTGATTGTTTAGTGGTTCCTAGTTGAGGGTTAACTTGCCGAGAGGAGGCCATGGAGACAGAAAACGATGACGGCGGGCATTGGCAACCTCGGCCACCTAACTCCAGGGGGGCAAAGACAACAGAAAATCTCGCCTACGCACCGTCGCCATAGAGATATCAGTGCTGGCCAAACAACACAATCAGGTGTGGTTCACAGTTTCTCACAACCACCATTTGACATATAACTTGATTGTTTCTACACTTGTTGAGACAATAGATGGTATCAGCTTCTTCAACAGATAATGTCTTTGGTACGGAAACGACAAATCAAATCTTGTTTCTTATGGTAAGTAATAAATATCAAACTGTGTTGTATTACAATGTTTATCCAAAGCCAAAGTCGGCATTCATTTCTTTTGTCTTGGGAAATGTTGAGAAAGAGCATACCTTAGTTCCAAAGATGAATCTTGAGATTATTTTTCAAAAAAAAGATGGCGTGGCAAAATATTTACTCGAGGACCATGAAAAGGCAACTTCACAAACACGTTTTCCATGATGCATCCTTGATTGCATTCACATCATAACCCTGAATGTTATCTCTCGCATAATAGAATCCTGCAGATTGCTCCTCATACAAAAGTCTGTTGCATGACATGCTGGGACCTGTGAAATTGCTTTGTTCAGACAAAGTTTCGCATGAATTAATCAGTGATAAATTTGTGACTAATGTCAATCTGTTGAAAATATTGGTCCATCCAATTTCTCTCAACTGATTAGATCTTCCTGCTGTTAATTGTAGTCACAGACACTATAATTCAAGTATACTTTTACATGGTCGTAATTTGCTTGTCCTGAGGTTACCCTGTGTTTCATTTCATCAGGCTAAACTAACTTATCGCATTGCAGTCTTGTAGACCGGATAAACCAATGCATAGGGTTCTTAGGCACTTTGTGTTTTCCCTTTGCATCCATGTTTTTCCAGAGCATATAAACTTTTAATGTCCATTTCGATCTGATAGTACAACACTTGGTTTTGAGCTATGGACTTTGCCAATTTGATAAATGTTCGACCAAGATAGGCGATCCTGCGCACAAGTTCCATGCCATCCTCTCTACTTGCTACTGCTGATTGTTTTTCTAAACTATGGAAGATGCCTATGAAATCAGAGGATCCTGGCACTGACAAGCAAGTCAAGCACGTCCTGGGACTGACATGCTTGAATGTCTGGCCGAAAGGCCGTTGCTGCAGATAGTATGTGACTTAGTTGATTCAAGGGTCAAGTGTGGACCGAGTGTTGATTTGTATTGAATGGCTCCTCACGAAAGAAAAATCTAGCACGAAGTAGCATATCGTTTGTGCAACATCATCAAACAAAACCAAAAAAATTCCGGCCTGCCATTTAGTCATCAGTACACTACAGCGGGAAACAAAATGAGGTACTCCAGGAGTAATATAAATGGCACCAGCAGGTTCCGGTTGAATTGCAGTAGAGGGCAGAGCAACCACTAGGCACCACGTTGAAATGAACAATGCCATATTCCGTTATTAGACAGCTTGAAGGAAAATCTGAAGTGTTCCCTATCCAACTTCCATGTATTATTGCGTAAAAAAATTGGTGGAAGCAGAGTAAACATCATCGATTTTAGTTATAACATTTAACCAACAGTATACACCTCCAGAGTATGCCAAATGAACAAACATAAAAGATGGATGCATGGGCCCACTCTATTCATCTTTTACAGGAATATATTGAAAAATACAACACCAGAAGAATACTATGTGAAATATATTACTCCCTCTGTTCACTTTTATTAGTCCTTGAAGACATTCCAGACAGCATGCAAAGCAGCCTATTTTCAGTTGTCTGAAATGACTTATAAAAATGAACGGAGGGAGTAATAAATTATGAAGGATAATGGTGAATTGTACGAGTAGATCCCTCTCAACATCTAGTGTTTTCAATTGTACTCCCTCCATAATATAAGAGCGTTTAGATCACTAAAGTAGTGATCTAAATGCTCTTATATTTCTTTACGGGGGGAGTAACAGACAATAGCATGTATTTTTCGAAAGGATAATATAACAAAGCCACACCAATTCTAACATAGCTGCAGCATTTCACGGCAATACCAACAGATGTTAGTGCAAGTAATTTTCCACTGCTTACGAATAGGTTTGATTGTAGTACTAGTCTGAAAACCTTCATTCCATAAATAATTGACAAGCACATAGAAACGATGTACGAAATAGAAGTATATAGACAGATAAGGACTTTTAAGTAAAAGAGAAGGGTCCATTTCTCAGTAAATAGAAGTAATAAACATCAATCCCATTATTCTGAAACCTAATTTTAAGACTAATCCACATATGAAGCAAGCAAAGAGTAATCCCATAAGTCAAAGTAGCACCAATAGAAACTGGAGTAGTTAGTCCTGACGTGTAACAGTAATTTCTGAAGCGGATTGAAACTCATAATATCTCGGAAACCTGCATTGCAAAAAAAATAATCAGTTTAGGCCACAAGAGCTCACTGTATTACTAGCAAAACAGATTTCAAGTGTTAAGAAGAGTTTATTTACATGTATTGGCATCTCTGCAATGACAAATCCATTGGTTTCTTCCAGAGACTTTAGAAGAGCCACCTCACCACCAACCACCATATTAATCATGATTCCATCTGCACAATCATAGTACATCAACTACATCAGCACTTCCAAAAGGCGGATCAATTGATATTTTTTAAGTTACCTGTTGCCAAGCATGCTGATACATGTCTTAAGTAAGCCTCCTGAAAAATTCAGACACAAACATCAGGTAAGACAAAATGATCTACAGATTAGAACCAATGGTGCACAACGAAACAGCATGAAAGCATGATAGCACTCAAAGGTAAAATTTACCATAAACAGCTAAGGGTATTTGGGCCACAGAAGTCCTGAAGGTAAAGTATCATGAAAAATCAGGACTGCTCACCTTCTTTGTAGGCAATTCATAGTTTATCAGCACACGAGACATAAGGGGAGCCTCTCCCATCGCCGCCGAAGGCAAGCAAGCATCTGTTACAACTGTAATATTTTGCTTCAAGACCACACTTTCAGGCTTGGGACTTTCATCAATAGAAGTATCTTCAATTTGATTTCGCTGTATTGCTTCCGGACGGGATTTCTCAAGAACAGATGCACGCTCAGCTTCATCTTGATCGCTGTACTGTGTACACAAATCCACAGATTGATATTATTAACTACTCCCTCCGTCCCACAATATAAGATCGTTTTTCAAGGTACCATAGCTTTAAAAACGATCTTATATTGTGGGGCGGAGGGAGTAGCAAAAGTACTCCTGGTAGGAACTTGTACCCTACCAGGCCTGGGACGTAAGCAGTAGGGGAAGGAGGGAGCTGGGCGAGGCGATGAGCGGCCGCGCCGGCGGTTGGGCGACGTCGCGGAAGAGGAGGGAGATGGCGACGGCGGCTAGGGTTAAAGGCGGCTAGGGTTCCGGCTCCTCTGGGAGCCGAGCAATAGAGATAATAATCTTCTTATTGCTTGATTCCAAAAAGAGTCTTACAGCCTATATTTATAACCTAGATAACTTGCATAAGAATTAATCTAAGATAACTTGTGGGCTAAGATTGCCCGGTGGGCCTAGCTAAATCGGCCATAACACTTCTCCCCGCCTGCACAAACAGTTCGTCCTCGAGCTATAGGGTGGGGAAGCGCTAGCGGAACTCCTCGAGGTGATCAACCAGCGTCAAACACCTTCTTGACAGCTGGGGCGGCTAGGTCGGCGGCGACGGCGTCCTCCGGAATGTAGTCTGCAACCTCCAGGTAGAAGAGTCGCGGGCAGGCATGGCCGGGCGTGTAGGGCTCGTCGCAGTTGAAGCACAACCCTTGGCGGCGACGCTCAAGTAGCTCGGCTGAGGTGAGCCGGCGGAACGGGCGCGCCGCGGTCACGGCGAGGGGTGCCGCAGAAGCCTGTGCAGGCCGACCCTGTGCGGAATCCGGCCCGGGTAGCGACCCAGCGGTCCGGGACGGTGATTCCTGCTGGATGGCCACCGCGCGGCGCTCGAAAGCGCGGGCGTAGTACATGGCCGACTGGAGATCCTGGGGTCCCCGAAGCTCCACGTCCACGCGGATGTGATCCGGAAGTCCACCGACAAAGAGGTCGGCCCGCTGCTGCGCCGTCACCCCCGACGCATGGCATGCCAGGGCCTGGAAACGGTCGGCGTAGTCCTGCACCATGGAGGTGAATGGAAGGCGGCCGAGCTCCGCCAGGCGGCTCCCGCGAACCGGAGGCCCAAAGCGAAGGAGGCAGAGCTCGCGGAACCGCTCCCAAGGGGGCATGGCGCCCTCGTCCTGCTCGAGGGCGTAATACCAGGTCTGTGCCGTGCCGCGGAGGTGATACGAGGCGAGCCAGGTACGCTCTGATGCGAGGGTGTACTGCCCGCGAAAGAACTGGTCGCACTGGTTGAGCCAATTGAGGGGGTCCTCCGTGTCGTCATAGGTGGCGAAGTCGATCTTGGCGAGCCGTGGCGGTGTCTGGGTCGGAGCGCCGTGTCGAGCTGGCTCAGAGGTGCGGAGCAGCGAGGTGGGAGGCGCCTGGTCGACGTACTCCGGGTAGGGACCCGCGGAGCTGGATGGCCCGCCGAACTGCGGAAACGGGGTCGGCTGCTCTGGAGCCGTGGTGTAGACCGGCGATGGCGAAGACCCAGCCACCCACGCTGGAAGTGGCGACGGGGAGGGCGGGAACCGGACCTGATGAATCAGGAGGCCGGTCGGTGAGGGTGCCCCCGTGCTAGGCAGGGGGGGTGTCGGTGGTTGGAGCGTCGGTGGCGGGGGGTGGGCGGCCGCGGGAGGGGGTGGCTGCAAGTACCACAGAGGGGCCGCGGCCGGCGTAGTCCCGCTGGGGTGTCCCGCTGGAAACGGCAGCAGGGGCTGCCC